TTATATATGTTTGAAAAATAAATATTAAAAATAATAATTTATAGTAATAATGATAATAATTTCAATCTTGTTTATATTATATTTATAAGATTATTAGACATAATTGCAATTAAACTTAAATAATTTTAATAAAATTTAAATTTCATTGAATTTCAATTGCTTAAGATAATACAATATGATATGATATAATGTAATATAATAAAATAATAACTAATCTTGAATAAAAATCTTACATAGAACTAATTAATGATTTTTTTTTGTAGGAATTTTATTTTCACTCCCAAAATCAGGTCTTCCTTCCCCACAAAACCAGATTTTGTCTTCTAATCCTAGTAGTTTGTCGCCATGGAGTTTGCTTTAAAGGTGATTATTTGAAATATTATGCGAAAGGTTCATTATATCTTTTAATGGTTGAATAATCAAATAGTAACATTTATAAACATTGGTGATGTAATTGATATTTTTTTAAAATTTAGCTATCAAAACAAAAAACTTTGAAAAATTGGGTGACAAAAAGTATTTCACTCTTAATTTTTCAAAATTAATATACACTTAATTTACTTCTAAATATTAAGATTTAAATATTATGTTATTTAAATATGCATTAGATTAGTTTATTTAAATATTATATTAATAATATCAAAAAGTTATCAAAATTATATCAAAAGTTTTAAAAATTTATCAAATATTAGCAAATTTCTATAAACAATTATCAAACTTTTAAAAAAGGCTATCAAATTAATCAAATATTATCAAAATCAAAATTATATAAAAGCTTATCAAAATCACATAAAATTTTATTAAAATTTTATCCAAGAGTAATAAGATTCTATCAAAGATTACTAAAATTTTATCAATGATCACCAACATTATATCATAACTTGTCAAAATTGTATTAAAAGTTACTAAAATTATATTAATAAGTTATTATCAAAATTTTATAAAAAGTTTCAAAATTGTATCCATGATTAGTAAAATAATATTATAAATTACTAAAATAATATAAAAGATTACTAAAATTTTATCAAAGATTATCAAACTTATAACAAAGGTTATCAAATTATAACAAAGGTATTTAAAATCAAATTATATAAAAGGTTATCGAATTATATTAAAGGTTATCAAAATTTTATCTAAGGTTATCAAATTATATTAAAGGTTATCAAAATTAAAATTTTATTAAAAGTTATCAAAATTATATCAAAACTTACCAAAATTATATCAAAACTTACCAAAAGTATATCCACTATTACCAAAATTATATCATAAGTTATCTCAATTGTATTAAAAATTACCCTAGTTATATTATGATTACAAAAAATTTGTCAAAACTTACCAAAATTGTATCAATGGTTATTAAAATTATATCATAAATTACTAAAATAATATCAAAATTTATCAAAATTATAAAATAAGTCACCAAACTTTTATTATACTAAAACCTAGTAAATATTTTCAACATTTTTATTTAAGGAAATTTTTATAATTTAAGTATGTTAATCTTATAATTTTGGCTTTTTATTATGTGTTATTTCTTTTTTAATTTTAATTAATGTTAAACTCCAATAAAATTACATTTTACTTTTACAAACGAATTAAAGAAAACTACATTCAATATTAAATTTTCAACAATATACCAAATGATATTTTAGTGTAAATTTATTTTCAAAGTTAAAATTTTCTCACTTAATTTTTTTAATATTAGAATCTTCAATTTATGAAACAATTCTTTATATATGTTCATTAAAATTTCTTATTTTTTTTCTCTTTTCATTAAACATCTTTTATATATATTTATATATATATATATATTTGTTTCTTTCCTTTACTTATAAAAATTTTGTAATAAAATAACCTAATCACTCTTGATCTTAATAATCTCAAAAATATTATTAACCATTTTTAATATCACTAGTGTTTTAATTTACAACTCTTTGCGATTGTCTCCAATTCAATTTAAATAAATGTGTTCTCTAAAATTTTCATAAATATAAGATGACTTCAAGATGGAATCCCAAATTAGCATTTTTTATAAAAGATGTGTATAAATTAGCATTAATATGTATCATTATACATACTTAAACTCATAGGAAAAGATCTTTTCCACTACTTAAAAAGTAGTAGATAGAAGTTATCACTAATTTATCTAATGGCCAATAATGCATATTCACCAAAATTCATGATTGAAATTTAATGATTTTAAATTGAATATGAAAATAAATAAAAATTAATTAAAAAATAAAAATGATTTAAACAAATATCAATAATACTAGGTGAAGGTGCATTTTTTATCCTTAAATAAATTAATTGGAAAGAGAATTTTTTCATAAACTCATCGCCTTATTATTGCTTGTCCAGCATTGTCACTTGCATAGACAATCATCAATACCCATAATTTGTAATTTTTTAATAATGTAATAAATACATTGATATTATCAAAATTCAATTAGAATAATTATTTCTGACTATTCCAAATTTTCTGCAAAATTTTCATTATTGTCACTTAGTCGTATTGAATTTTTATAAATTTTCTTTATTTTTTAGTTTTTTTCTCAAAATTTTTACTTGAAGTTCGTGTTGCACAATTGAAAATTAATTAAATTTTTAATGTTTTAATTTCTTTGATGTGTTTGATAACTTAAAGGAATATTTTTTTTGAAAAATGCTGAAAAATATAAAGCAGGTAAAACCTTCTTAATATATTCAACAATGCTATTTAAGGAAATTTTTATAATTTAATTTCATTAATCATATGATTTTCTTTTTTCTTATGTGCTATTTCTTTTCTAACTTTAGTTAATGCTTTTCGAAATTAAAGAAATTTAATTAATGTTAAATCCTAATAAAATCACTTTTTACTTTTACAAAAAATTAAAGATAATATCCATTCAATATTTAATTTTTAACAACTTACGAAATTATAATTTAGTATAAATTTATTTTCAAAATTCAAAATTTCACACTTAATTTTTCAATATTTAAAATTTCAATTTATCAAACAATACCAAATCTTTATATATGTGCATTTTTAAATTTTAATTTGTTTTTTCCTTTTCACTAAACTTTTTTTTTTTTATAAAATCCGTTTTATTTCTTCCCATGCTTAATTGCTTCCAATGCTTTTGGTTTCTTTAGAAATCATTGTTGCTTCAAGTTTTTATTTTTATACTTTCATAAAAATTATTTTATAATTGTACATGTTTGTATAAATACATACACACACATATATATATTAATTACATATTAATTAACCTATATAAAATATTTAATGCAATAGTACATTAATTTTGGTAAAAAAATTGCTAAAGTAACTTATTTGTTTTAAGACACAAATTTTTTAGTACTACAATTGAATGTAAGATCTCTTATCTAAATCGCAACATTATATATATAACATTTTTGTATTCATATGTAAATTAAAAGGGAATAGAGATGTGGATTTAATACAAATTAAAGGTTAAACACATATATAGGATAGCTAGAGCTATCAATGATGATCCGAACTTAGAAAGTTTGCTTAATCCAATAGAGCCCAATTTATTAATAAATCGAATTCGAAATTATCTAAACCCTAATTAACTCAAGTTTGAAATTATCTAAATCTGAATGACTCAAACTAAAATGATTCAAAATTAAATTAGTTTGATTTTAAATTTTAATAATTTAAACTTGAAATAACTAGAATCAAATGACTGGATCTCAAAAAGTACAAATGTCCAGCCCAAATAATCATAATCCAAAATAACCCAAGAGATCATTTAAATTAAATTTGAAATGACTTGAATTCAAAATAACTTAATTTTTTTTTACCCAAAATAATTTGAGTCAAAATTATTCAACTCAAAACCTACTCAACTTGCCCAATTGCCACTTCTAAATCAATGCCTATTTCTTTTTTCCTATACACACAAAAAAGATCTTTTTATATTTTATTAGTTGTTGTTATTAACAAAATTTATTTAAGTTTTGTTGGATAATTTTTTCTAAACATTTATGGAACCTACATTAAAACAAATTTGAATGAAAATTGACAAAGGAGATATTAAAATTCAGAAATACAAACTCCCTTAAATATTGTAATCATTAATTTTAATCTACCACAATAATAATATTAAAATTCTAATCGATTGTAATAGCCAAATAAAAAAAAAAAAAAAACCAATTGAAAGTAATATTATGAAACATAATAAATAACTTTCTTAATGGTCTAACCCGTAAACCAACTCTAATCTATTTAATCAACCATCAAGTTGTCAATTTTCATGGATGCTAATTACTTTTCAATGAAAGTCTAGTTTTCATATAAAATGAAGACTACTTAAATAATTTAATTAAATAAAATTTTAATTATGATTAAATTATATATATTAAAAAAATCCAGCCATTCTGCTTATCAAGGAAAATAAAATATAACATGAAATTAACTACAGTACAATAAACAAATTAAGATAAGACAAAGAGTTTTTATATTTTTCATAAAATATTATGTTGCCAAAATAAAAAAGCTAGTTTATGTTAATGTAACCCACAGTTGTTAGTTATCTTGATCGATGAACATAGATATCTAATACTGTTTCTACGAAGAACAGGATACGATTGCTACGTACTACAAGTAAACAGTTATCTCGGGCCAATGTTAGAAAATTGCTTACATGTTTCCTTTTCATGCTTATAGTAATGACATATATACACAATTGCATCAATTATCTGCTAGAAAATTGCTTTGTATGAAATATATATTCCTAATCAAACGAAATAAAATTTTTTACCTTCAATATTCTATATAAATGGAATTACTAATAAATTCAAAACAAAATTCTAATGCCATTAATTATTTCACTTGCTTTACTGAAATGTATTGACGTGTTTCTCTCTTAATTTCTTGATGTTCAAATTACACATTCTTAAGTTGTTTGTAGGTTTATTGGGCTATTTTCTGAGACAAACAGAACTATTTCAAACCCTGCAAGTTATTGTGTATCCTCCTCCTACTCCTTACAATGTTGACTTTGTCTTCTTCATCATCTTCTTCCATTTATCCATGGAAATATCACATTTTTTTGAGTTTTAGTGGTAAAGATACCCGAAAGAGCTTCACGGCCCATCTATATGTTGCTTTAAATCGGTACGGAATCAACACTTTCAGGGATGATAACAACCTTGAAAGAGTGAAGGACAACGGACTCGAGCTCTTGAAATCAATCGGAGAATCATGGGGTTCAATAATCGTTTTTTCGAAAGGATATGCTTTTTCAAGTTGGTGTTTAGATGAGCTTGCCGAGATTGGGAAACAGAGGAAGGAAAGGGTACATCAAGTTTTTCCATTCCCCTAATATTTGGCAATGTCTATATGAAGTCCTGTTGATAGCCGATGGATCTCAATTTGCCATACATAAGAATAGTAAATTTTACAGTACTTGACAATCCCAGGCCTTAATTTTGTTAATCTGCTTACTGTTTCTTATTCTTAAGAGCTGCTGGTTTTGATAGACCCGCAAACGCCAACAATTATGGCAGACAAGCTAATAAAAAAAGATGGAACTTACTACGAGATTGCACTTTGTTTTAAGTCTGCCTTGTGGCAACTGCCATGAAAATGGCACCAAGACCATAACAATTGAATTGACTCATAATAATTTAGGTCATTTTGTTTGTACTTTCCTAGGCAGTTTCTTTTTCTTTGCACTTTCCTAGGCAGTTTTTTTTTCTTACTTTCTTGGCTATTCTTTTCACTACTCTCCCTATTATTTCTTAGTTAATATCAATCAAGATGGCTTCCACGTGCTTTTACCACGAGCTAATTAACTATTTCTTTGCTCCTTAAATATCTTCTACCAGGGTTCTATAGTTACCAAGGAAGTTTGCTTCTTGCTATCTGCCAGCCATTTTTTTCTTCACTGATTTTTCTTCCCTGTTGGAGGTCTTGAAGAAGTATCAGGCTACCAAGGGGGTTCAAATTAGTAGGTAATTTTCAATTCAGCTATTTTCAATTTCCTATGATGTTGACTTTACAATGATTGTATTTTAACTTTAAAAAAACATTGTTCAGATGATTTTATATCGTCTTGTTTAGAACATGAATATTTGGTTAAGCATGATGAAAAATTGTGATTCGACTTGGCTTTAATTATAAAAGTAGTACTGGGTATTGCTGAAAATCAACAAAAAGTTTAATTTCTTGATGTTCAAAATTGGTATTATTAAGTTTGTTTGTAGGTGTATTACGCTATTTTTTGAGATAAACGGAACTATTTCAAACCCTGCAAGTTATCTTCCTCCTACTCCATGTTGACTCAGTCGTCTTCATCGTCTTCTTCCATTTATCCATGGAAATACGACATTTTCTTGAGTTTTAGTAAAGATACCCAAAAGAGCTTTGCGGACCATCTATATGCTGCTTTCAATCGGTACAAAATCAACACTTTCAGGGATGATAACAATCTTGAAAGAGGGGAGGACATCGCACCCGAGCTCTTGAAAGCAATTGGAGACTCATGGGGTTCAATAATCGTTTTTTCGAAAGTATATGCTTTTTCAGTTGGTGTTTAGATGAGCTTGCCGAGATTGTGAAACAGAGGGAGGAAAGGGGACATCAAGTTTTTCCAATTTTCTATGATGTTGAAGTCTCCGATTTAAGACATCAAAGAGAAAGGGTTCAAGAAGCCTTTGACATGCATGAAAAGAGATATAAGGAGAACAAAGATAAGACGCAAAGGTGGCGAGATGCTTTATCCCAAGTGGCTAATATCAGTGGATGGATTTTGAAAGATCAGTAAGTTATAGCTTCTTTTTTTTATATTTTGGAAGTTCAAACCTTCAATTCTTGACTTGACTCCAGTAATACTAAACTAACAGTTAATTGGTAGTTATAACTCTTTCTTTCTTTACTAAAGTTCACTATTTTTTTTTTGTAATTTATCAAATGAAAAATGTGTGAATAAATCTTTAGATTTAATAAAAATATAAATTTTAATTGATCGCTTATTTATTATCATTATCATTTTCAGTTGCACAAAGCTATTTTTTTTTTTTTTATAACTATAAATATTTGTTTTTTTTTTTTGTAGGTATGAATCGAACTTCATTGAAAATATTGTTAAAGAGATATCAGCAAACTTATCTCAAACATGTTCACAATTGAAAGAGTTGCATTCCAAACTCAATATAAGACGACGTTATGTTGAAAGTCTTGTAAGTCATTTTACGAAGATCATATATTTGGTTATTATTATTTTTTGGAAAGAAAAATGACTATATCTAATCAGCATGCCCATGAAAAAGGAGTTGGTAGCTAAATCTTATTATATATGACATTAGATTGTAAATTCAATAAATTATGACTAGATCATATTTTAAAATTACCATATTAATTTAATGGGACCTAATTCATAATATTAATGTGAAGTTACCCATTTTCATTATGACAAATTTTCGTAATACATCGTGTTTTAATTTATTTTTTATCAACCAAAAAGTTTTTTGAATAAAATGATAGATACTAGTTTCTTATTATGAACTCTTTTTGATGAAATTTTTGTAGATAAATAAATCTAATATGTTAATATATAGCAAGAATGGCTCTTCAAAAACATCTGAAAAGAAATTTAAATTCTTAATTATTTAGTTAGACGTGCACTTGTTTTAAAGTCAAAAGTATTTTATTTTTAATATTATTAAATATATTATTAAAATAAAAATATATTATTTATTAATAAAAATAATATAATGAATCGGACAAAATCTAAGGCCTAAAAACTTAAGCCCAAGCTTACGCTACCGGCTTGATCGGGTAGCCCAATTGTTGAATTCTTCTAATATAGCATATGTAATCTAATTATGACTACTAGACCAGCGAATATGGCCTACCTTTTATTCTTTGTTTAGTATGATTTGTACTATTACACTTCACACAGAACACTATTGAATTTTGGATTTATTTTTTCTGTTTAGGGGCCTCTAAAATACTAACGCTAATTTACTAGGGATAGAAAATTATTGATTCTTTTATTAAATAAACATGTCTTAGATTCGCACCCTTAATAGTCAATTTGTCTAATTAAATTAAAATATCCTCTTTAATTGGCCAATAAAAATTTTAAATATGCTCCTTGGAAATTTACTGCATGTATTTATATGGTTATAGAATTCATCAATTTGGTTTGTAATATACATATTTATAACGTATGTAGGGACTTGAAGCAAGGGATTTTTTTCATAAAAAGATCGATGAAGATACATCGTTATCCTGTAATAGCTCGTCTGCGGAGGAAGATCCAACTGAACACGGGGAGATTTGTCATGTCAAAAGCGAGGGTGAAATCATCCCTCCAAATTCTGAAGCTTCACTTGAGATTGGGGAGAAACAAATCAATCTACATGGAGATCCATCTTGTGGTAGCTTGTCTCCCTGCATCTTTAGAACTCCTTACCCTGAATTAGATTTCCAGAAGCCTCAGTTGGTTTCTATTGGCCCTTATCACAGGGGTGAAAACCTTCCACTCGAAAATAGCAAGTACTTCTTCCTTGAGAAATTTATGTCTCGGACAAAACACCAAGGCAAAGATTTACGCTTCTATGTCCAGGATATGGTGACACTGGAACGGCGTACGAGAAGATGCTACTCCGAGGTTTTGTCAATGTCCAGTCTCGATTTTGTTGAAATGATGTTAGTTGACGCTTGCTTCATACTGGAGGTCCTACGCCATTTTGGTAGGAGTGAAGAATCTGAAGATGGGTTTTTCCCCATTGAGCCATGGAAGATCCCCATTTTGGTTCAAGACCTGCTCATGCTAGAGAACCAAATTCCTTTCTTTGTCTTAGAGAAGTTGTTTAATTTATCGGAGAGCGAAGAAGGGACAGCAACACTTTCTGTAACCACTATGGCCTTGAAATTTATGGGTCTAGTCTTCCCTGGATCCATGGATTTCAGCTGCAAGTCCAACCATTTGGAGGCCGACCATCTACTTGACTTGTTTCTCGAGTCTATCCGCCCATTAAACAGATCCACCATCTCAAATTCACTCCATTTGAAAACAATTGTTATTCCAAAATCAGTTCACTCATTTCTCAAGAAAATCAATCCGAGAAACCAAGCAGGCGTCTCAAAGATAGGCCAGGATATCCTTTTAGAAACCCCTGCGACCATTCCAAAGCTAAAGGAATCCGAACCATCAATCTCAATGGGAGTCAAACCTGAACAACAATGTGATCCTCCACCTCCAGTTCACTCAATGAGAAGTGCAATGAAACTACAGTCATCAGGTATAGAGTTCAGGCGGAGAAGAGCTAATAGGTTCACAGATATCAATTTCAAGGATGGAGTGCTTGAAATCCCTCCTGTAATCATCAATGACCTCTTTCTCGCAATCCTTATTAACTGCATGGCCTTGGAACATCGTTCTGAGCAGAGGTCCAAAGATTTGACTGCTTATGTCTCATTCATGATTGGTCTCATCACAGATTCTACCGATGCAGAGTTGCTAAGTTCAAATGGAATTATCTCAAGATTTTCCTACGATGACAAAACAGTGGCAGAGTCTTTCCATTCGCTAGGGGAAAAAACTCTTAATCTGGACATTCAAGATTCCTATCTTTCCAAGACATGGAAGGAAATAGAACGCTACTATACTATTTGTGAGGGAAAAACTTGGCGTTGGTGGCGTTGTTGTCGTAGATATTATGGGATTGCTTTATTCTGCATCACAAACTTTATGTTTGCTTTCTACCGTTTGACATCGGGCCTTAATTTGATGCTCCCTTTAGTAAAAGAAGTTAAATTTCTGGGGCACAGCACCCTGGACTTGGGCCTGAGCGAGTTTTTGGTTTTCTGTTTCCTCAGTCTGATCATTGTTATTATGATAGTTCAAAGGGTGGCTCCAACTTTGATGAGGATGATGATCGAGAAATACCAGCGCTCTCGAGACTTACAGATGTCGAACATTCACTATCCAAGTGAAAGGTCAGTGGACGACGGTACTGAAGTGTATGAGACAGCAATGGATAACGGCAAGGATATAGAACCAGATCAAGACGAGTGCCATGAGGATCTGGAAGCCGAGCAGGTAAACATTTTGTAGTAACTGTATAATAAATAATATGTGATAATTTTATAGTACATAATTAAAAATTAAGTAGTAGATAAATAATAACATAGTAGTAATTATGTAATAATATATTAGTAAATTATTGATAATTTTGTAGTAATAAATCATTAATAATTTAATTATAAATTAATAATAATTTAGTATTAAATTAGTTAATAATTAATAACTTTTAAATAAATTATCGATAAATTAATAGTAAATAAATTATAATTTTATAATAAATCATCAGTAATTTAGTACTAAATTATCATCAATGTAGTAGATAATTTGATAATAAATCATTGCTAACATAATACTTAATTAATGATAATTTAATTATCAATCATTGATAACTTTTTTGTATTTAAAATTGTCATGGATTGAACTTTGGTTACTAACAAAAACAAAACTAGAACTTTCATCTTAGGAGGCTAAGATAAATCTATAATAAACATATTCAATAAAATAATTTAGTGAAATTTTTTTAAATTTGAATGAAATAATAATGTTATTATATAAAAAGAAAATATTTTATATTAGAATGACACCGGTGTTTTGCTAAAAGAATCAATTGTTAAAAATATAATGGTATAAAAGAATATTATAAATTACTAAAATTATATAAAATGTTACCAAAATTACATCAAGTGATTACAAAAATTTTATAAAAATGATCAAAATTATATCAATGTTTAAAAAATTTATATCATAAGTTACCAAACTAATATTGAATTTTATCAAAATTGTATCCAAAGTTACCAAAATTTTATCAAAGGTTACAAAACTTTTAACCAAGGTTACCAAAATATATCAAATGTTATTAAAATCAAAATTATATCAAAAGTTATAAATTTTACTTATATATATATATATATATAAATCAAGCTTAAACTGTTAATATTTATTATTATTATTATTATTATTATTATTGTTATTACTGTTATTATTATTATTTGAATGTATTAAAAATTTTATTTATTGAATTGAATTTTAGGAAATAAAAATTGTATGTGCATTATGCACATGTTAAAAACTAGTATATATATATATATATATATATATAAATTACATCATCACATGCTTTCCATGGTTTCATTAAGCCCATGATATTAAGATCGAGCATTATTAGATAAAAGGCTATAGAATTTTAGCAAAATGCTTAGCCATTGTTATAAAATCTAAATCTTAATTTTGAAAAGTTTGGACTATAAATCAGAAATCCATGAAAACCAGCCTTATCATGAGCATAATATCTGCCCACCTTTTACGCAAATAATCAACCTTTACTTCCCATGTTTTGTTTCTTTTTCATGCTTGTCATGATGGTTTTCTCTTCTCTGTTTTATTAATGCTACTCCTTTTCTTCTATTACTGATACTGGTTTTCTACAAATATTGTTTAATATTTACATTTTAATTTGGTTATTTTGTTATCTCATTAGTAATGTAAATATTATGATCAAGCTATCATAAGGATGTCAATGGATAGGGTATGAGTAGGGTAAAGCATTCTTTATCTCCATTTTTAGATTTTTATATTATACTCATCTTTGTATCGATACTCAATAGATATTTTAAATTTATCTTCATCCCTATTCCTATCCCTATGGTCATTCGTAACTTTTAAAAAAAATAAAAATAAAAATTTATTTTTTAATATTTTTTACTTTTATCTTGTATATTTAGATAATTTCTTATTAACATATATTTTTTCAATAAAATATATTAATTCTAATTATCTAAAATAATCATTTATATTATTTAATAAAAAAATCTATTTACTAAATATGTGTAAATATATATAGAGTATGGGGTAGTATTATTTTACTTATCCCCATCCCCATCGCCATACCCTAAAAAATTTAAAATTATTCCCATCTCGATCCCTATACTCACAATATAATACCCATCTCCATCCCCATTCAAATAAAATATGAGATTTCCTATTGAGTATGGGTAAAATTGACATCCTTAAGCTATTAGCTCAAAAGCAAGCTTAGCAATGTGATAAAATTAATCACTTTGGCTTTAGGTTTTGGTAATAATAATAGTATTGGGTTGAAAATGGATATGTATTTAAGAGATTACTGGATTTTAATGCCAAGGCTTTAAAAGTAGGAACCATAGATTGATAGGGTTCATGTGAAAATTAATATGTAAAGAAAAATTATTAAAAATATTGTTTATAATTCAAATTTAGTCATTATTTATTCACGATAAAAATTTTGTCAATATTTTTAGTAAAAATGTTTATCTAAAAATATATATCAAAATTTATTAAAATTTTTTAAAATTTGCACTTTTGATCTATGTAATGAGATTTTTCAATTTATCGATTTTGATTTTTAATTTTTATTTTTATTTAATCGTTTTTAGTAAGGAACTTTGCAAACTTCATTTAAGGAACTTCATTTAAGTCTTTCTTACTAAATGCTAATGGTAATTTACAAAGAGATAGAAAAGTAATGATTCTCTTGTTAAACAATATATTTCCATTCACATCTTAAAGCCAACTTGTCTAATTAAAATATGTAGCTTAAAAATTTACTGCCTCTATTTAGGTGGTTATAAAGTCCATCAAAATGGTTTATGATATATAAAATTGTTGTTATGTATGCAGGGACTTGCATCTACAACAATTTTATTTAGTGATGATGCAAAGATTTGCATGGAACAAATTTGGGCATATTTGATGGATGATGGTGTCTCAAAGATTGGAGTTTGTGGAAAGGCAGGCGTGGGTAAAACAGCTATCATGAAGAAAGTAAACAACCAACTATTAGAGGAGACTGAAAAGTTCAACATCGTGATATGGATCACTATATCAAAGGAGATGAACATCTCTAAAGTGCAAAAGAGCATTGCAGATGCTATGAAAGTAGACCTTCCTAAAGCTGAAGATGAAGCAATAAGAGCAAGGTTCATATACAAAAAGTTGTCTCAAAAAGGCAAGTATGTGTTAATCTTGGATGATCTATGGGATAAACTTTCACTTGAAGAAGTAGGCATCCCCGAGCCTTGTAATGGGAGTAAACTAGTGGTAACAACCCAGTTATTAGATGTGTGTCGCTATTTGGGTTGTCGAGTAGTTAGAATGTCTACAGAACCAGATCCTTGGAGATTGTTCCAGAAGACAGTAGGTCAAGATGTTTTGGACTATCCGGATCTGTTACCCATTGAGGAATCTGTTGCTGCAGAATATGATGCCAACAGAATTGTAAGTCATTTTACAAAGATCATACATTTGATTATTAATTTTTCTTAAAAAAATTACTATATCTGGTTAGTATGGTTATCGGTCAATGAAAAATGAGTTGCTAGCTAAATCTTATTACATATGACATTAGGTTGTAAATTCAATAAATTAGGATTAGATCATATTTTACAATTGCCACGTTAATTTAATGGGACCTAATTCATATTATCCTTGGAGATTGTTCCAGAAGACAGTAGGTCAAGATGTTTTGGACTATCCGGATCTGTTACCCATTGAGGAATCTGTTGCTGCAGAATATGATGCCAACAGAATTGTAAGTCATTTTACAAAGATCATACATTTGATTATTAATTTTTCTTAAAAATATTACTATATCTGGTTAGTATGGTTATCCGTCAATGAAAAATGAGTTGCTAGCTAAATCTTATTACATATGACATTAGGTTGTAAATTCAATAATTAGGATTAACATATTTTACAATTGCCACGTTAATTTAATGGGAACCTAATTCATATTATCCTTGGAGATTGTTCCAGAAGACAGTAGGTCAAGATGTTTTGGACTATCCGGATCTGTACCCATTGAGGAATCTGTTGCTGCAGAATATGATGCCAACAGAATTGTAAGTCATTTTAACAAAGATCATACATTTGATTATTAATTTTTCTAAAAAATATTACTATATCTGGTTAGTATGGTTATCCGTCAATGAAAAATGAGTTGCTAGCTAAATCTTATTACATATGACATTAGGTTGTAAATTCAATAGATTAGATCATATTTTACAATTGCCATGTTAATTTAATGGGACCTAATTCATATTATTAATGTAAATTCACCCAATTTTTATTATGACAATTTTTCATAATATATTGTATTTTAATTTACTTTTTCTAAGCCAAAAAGTTTTTTTTTTAAGAAAATGATAGATACTAGTTTCTTACTATGAACTTTTCTTTTATGAAATTTTAGTAGATAAATAAATTTAATATATTACTACATACTAAGAATGGCTCTTTTAAAAATCTAGGAAGAAATTAAAATTCTTACATATACAGTTAGAGGTGCACATAGGCTAATCGTATCTATTTTAAAGTCAAAAGTATTTTAATTTTAATATTGTTAAATATATTTTTAAAATAAAATTGTTATTTATTTATAAAATACTTTAATTAATCGGACAAAACCTAAGGCCTAAAAACTTAAGCCCAAGCTTACGCTACAGACTTGAACAGGTAGTCCAATTATTGAAAGCTTTTAATGTACCTTAAAGTAATCTAATTATGACTATTAGACTAGCCAATATGGATTACCTTCTGTTCTTTGTTTAATATGATTTGTACAATTACACTTCACACAAAACAGTTTTCAATAATTTTGGATTGATTTCTTCTAAAATACTAAAGCTAATTTACTAGGGATATAAAATTAATGGTTCTTTTATCAAACAATGCATCTTGATTGGCATCCTTAATAGTCAACTTGTCTAATTAAATTAAAATTTACTGCTTAGAAGATACGAGAAGTTGACGAACTTCTTCAACAGGGTAAGTTTCAAGATAGTCTGGTTGTTGACGACCTTGGGTGGATTGGACAAGCGCTATCTACAACAACTTTAGTCGGCGATGTTGCAAAGATTTGCATGGAAGAAATTTGGGCAAACTTGATGGATGATGGTGTTTCAAAGATTGGAGTTTGGGGAATGGGAGGTGTGGGTAAAACCACTATCATGAAGCTCGTAAACAACCAACTTTTAAAGGAGACTGAAAAGTTCAACATCGTGATATGGATCACTGTATCAAAGGAGATGAACATCTTTAAAATACAAAACAGCATTGCAAAAGCAATGCAAGTACCCCTTTCTGAAGTTGAAGATGAAGCAAGAAGAGCAGGGCTCATATTCGACAAGTTGTCTCAAAAAAGCAACTATGTGTTAATCTTGGATGACCTATGGGACAAACTTTCTCTTGAAGAAGTAGGCATCCCCGAGCCTTCTAATGGGAGTAAACTAGTAGTAACAACCCGGTCATTAGATGTGTGCCGCTATTTGGGTTGTCAAGAAGTTAGAATGCGTACTCTTCGAAAACCAGATGCATGGAGCCTATTCTCGCAAAAAGTAGGTCAAGATGTTTTGAATGACCCACATCTCTTGCCCATTGTGGAATCCGTTGCTGAAGAATGCGCTGGTTTGCCCTTGGCTATTGTTACAATAGCAAGCAGCATGAAGGGTGTACGGGACATTCATGAGTGGAGGATTGCACTCAATGAATTAAATAGACATGTAGAAAGTGTGAGTGGGGTGGAAGGGAAGGTGTTTCAACAGCTTCAGTTCAGCTATGATCGTTTACACGATCAAAAATTGAAGCATTGTTTTCCTCTGTTGTGCATTATATCCTGAGGATCATGAAATCGGTGCATTTGAGCTAATAGATCTATGGGTTGCAGAGGGGCTTGTGGAAGAAATGGATAGCAGGCAATTGGAGGTTGACAAGGGGCATGCCATATTGAATAAACTAAAAAACAGTTGCTTGATTGAAAACGGTACCGAATATCCAGATACTGTGAAAATGCATGACATTTTGAGGGATATGGCATTACGTATCACAAGTACAAGACCACGGTTCTTGGTGAGAGCTGGATTGCGGTTGAAAGAGATACCAAAGGTGCAAGAATGGAAAGAAGATTTGGAGAAGGTATCTTTGATGCTGAATTATGAATTACAAATTCCATGCCAAATTTCACCACCAAGGTGTCCAAAGCTCACAACCTTACTGTTGTCCTATTGCGGTATAAAGAGTATTCCAGAGTGTTTCTTTGAGCAAATGCATGGACTCAAGATTCTTGGTCTTTCTGGGAGTCTTATTAAAAGTCTGCCAAATTCCATCTCTAATTTGGAAAATCTCACTACATTGTTGCTTGATGAGTGTGAAGACTTAAAGAAGGTGCCGTCTTTTTCAAAACTTCAATCTTTAAAGATGTTGGACCTTAGAAATACAAAAATCAAGGATCTCCCTCATGGGTTGGAAAGGCTGGTAAATCTCAAATATCTTGATTTGAGACGTACGAATATAACAGAGGTGGCCGATGGAATATTGGCAAATTTGACATCACTTCAGCACTTGGCAATACTGAATTTTAACTTAGCAGCTGACAGATTCAGGCGACGAGAAGTAGTTTACAGATTCGTGAGAGGAGAGGAAATAGGTCGATTAAGGAAGTTGGAATACTTTGAAGGGGGATTTTATGACTTGAATGAGTGGAACAATTATATCAAAGCTTTGCATGCTCCAACAGAAGGGCCTCGTCAATACTACATTGTTACCGGTGAAGCACCATTTTTTCTCTTGCCATCGGAGTCGAAAAAAGTAATTCAATTAAAAAGTGGTAACATCTGCACAGATGGTATTAAGGTCCTACCTGATGTTGAGGGCTTGGTAATTGCGAAGTGCATTGTCGATTTGTGTGAAGAAGAGGCATTTTCCTCGCGGTTTATCTTACCGCCACATAATGTTTTTTCCTCTCTTTCTGATCTTTACATAAGTGATTGTAACAATATAAAGAAGTTGTTCTCGTCCAATTGGGTCTTGCAGAACCTCCAAAATTTGAATTACTTATGGGTTTCAGATTGCAGGGATATGGAAGAAATAATAGCACCAGAATCAGAATCGGAGGAAGAAGTAATAAGTGCCATCAATTTTACTCTTCCCAAATTAAAGAAATTGCGCTTGGGATGGCTACCAAAATTGAAGAGCATTTGTAGTGCAACTGGAGTAATGGTTTGTGATTCTATTGAGGAGATTACTATAACAGATTGTCCAAAATTGAAGAGGCTACCTCTGTATCTTCCCCTGCATGACGATGGCCAACCATCTCCCCCTCCTTCTCTTAAAAAGATTTCAATTTTTCCATTGCTGGGGCAATTGGTTGAGTGGGACCAGCCAAATGCCAAGTCTTTGTTGAAGCCTTACTTTAAGTGGTGATAGTTACATGTTCGTTGAAATGTCTGACCATTACAGCGTTCACTGTTACTTACTCTTTTTCTGTTGAGACAGGAGGAAATTACTCCTGACCACAATGGTAGCTTATTTCTAACACTTTCTTTCCTTCTTTCTTCTTAATCTCTCTCCATTTTAACTTTCTTATATGTTAATATCATGCTTGGCCTTTTCAGTTTTCCTGGAGATCTTAGCACGTCAAGGATTATTTGGAGGCAGCCGGCAGCATCTCACACTTTGATATTCGGAACTCCCTTGATGCATGTTCGTTTCAAGTCTCTATTTCTATCCTTCTTGTTGACGTTTTGGAGGTTTCTGAGAATTTAGGTAAACATGAACAATTTTGGTCAAACTCTTTGATTGGTTGATCCTTGTGCTCAGGTCAAATCTTGATTTTTCGCTTTTGTGTGGATCTATGATGAATTTGTTCCAAAAAGTTCATGCAATTATTGTGTCAGAGTCTGGTTTGATGTATTTTCTGGTGTTGTTACGATTATGGTCATGGTTAACATTGGGGTTCTTCAAACTCTTATCAATGTTATGATTCCAACTCTTGGTATGGCCAAAAATTTTCAATTTCATATGGAATGGTTTTGATCAGAAAACCAAATTTGAATATCACCCATGTTACAATTTCATGAATGGGATATTAAAGTGAGCCTGCATAAAAATTGATTGCATCACAATCTATATACAGCTTTCCTTTGTCTAGATTTTTACGCTAATTGGTCTTGAAGAGCTCACTAATTGGCCTCCTTCTCTATTTGCCTTTATTGGTTGTTATCCTTCCATCAGTAGATCAAATCAAACAATTCTTGTTCTCATATAAGTTGTGTGGGCACTTTAATAAATAGCTCTCTAAATATTTTCATGTGTTTGGATTGAATTACGTTCCAAACCATTTTTGATAAAAGAATTTTTTCTCAGAAAATTATTCATCTTGCCTTGTATGGAAATTCCTTATAATGCATTGTTTTTTTTTTTTTTTTCGGCCAGTCTTTATATTGCTTTCTTGAAATTCATATAAACAAGTAAACACATTTTGAAATATGATGAAAGATTGTCCTGATCTTCACCATAACTTTGAAGATCTATGTATGAAGCTATAAATAATTTATTCAAAAACTAGTGTTTTTTCTATTAACTTGTATGAAATTCAAGATAACGCTTTATACCCTCCTTTGATGTTTGGTAACCTATTTCAGGACATGCTTACGGCTCCAACCTTTTCGTTAGAAGCGAAACGGAAGCAAGCTGTTGGATTAAATGCTGTACAAGTTTACAGTTGCAAGTCCTTCATTTCATCATTTTGTATATCACTCAATCTCATATATTAATTTCTTGCCATTTTCCCTTTCTATATATTAATTTCAAGCTTTTTCTGTCTGTTTTTCCCTAGATGTTGTACCAGGTGAAAGATCATTTGTCACCATCTTAACGCTGCTGCAAAATAGAAGGAACTGGTGGCTTCTCACGTTCTCAATTGTAAACATTTGCAATTCTAGACTCCCCTAAATTACCTGTCAAGCCATAATGCCTGATGAAGACCCTAGTGACCATTTCTTTGGTTCTTCTGGAAGCAAGACCAATTCAAGCTCTAGAATAAAAGGCTTAAGCCTGGTTGTAAGTCCTTTGTCTTCACTCTCTCCTTGCCTGGTTTTCTTTTTCCTTTATATTATATATTTTTATAAGTGATGCCTTTTCTGGTCATATCATTTCCTAGATACCATACCACCTGGAGGATCACGTTGTTCCAAAATTTAAAACTGCAGCTAAGAAGACTAAAAAGAAAATAGCTCACTCTGGGAGTGAAGTAAAGTGGAATTGTAAATTTCACTCCACTGCAGAACCCCAGTCTTCTTCTGAATTTGCTTATATCATCTTCATCAACTCTAGAGTTGCCTAGGTTTCCTTGTGTAATATTTGTTGGCTCTATACTTTGTCTTGTCTGTTTTGTACTTTGTTTCTTGTCTGTTAACAGAAACATGTCAAGAATTTCTCTTTGTATTAATCATTGAAAATGTGCCAGATTCTGTTACCCTTAATTCTGCTCCAAAGTTGTTGAATGTATTTCCTTGGCTCAAAATTTTTTAAGTAAAGATATTTTATTTCGTGTAAAGCTCATATTTCCACCAAGAGAGCAATATATATATATATACACTTACTTAAGCAGCTTATATATATAGACAGCCTAGGGAATTACCGTAAGGAACTTAATTTGGAAGTTGAAAGATGCAGATTGGCTGGCCTTTATACTTACCTTAAGCAACTTGGGCTTTCCCCCATGAAACACTCCTAACCATAGGAAAAAGAACACATGAACACGATAGAGAGAATCAAAAAGAAACAAAACAGTTGACGTTTGACCCTGCAAGAGCCAAATTTTGTAGTACATCATAAAAATCAACAAATAAGGAATGTGGAATTCACTCCAACACTTCAATTTGCGTTAATAGCTCTTCGTAACAGTTTCCATGAAGTTGACTGGTATAAATAAAGGGCATTTCTCTTCTTTTCATTTGAAGTTTCCTCGGCACCTTCCCTCTTCTTGGTATTTCTTCCTACTTTTCCATTTCTTTGCTCCACAGTCTATATACCTCTTCCATCAAGGTTCTACTTTTGGCAGGGGAATTTGTTTCTTTTTAATAATAGGGCCTTTTCTTCAAGTATCAGGTAACTTTAATTTCCAATACCATGTTTCTTTTGACTGTTACGAATTGTGCGAAAGTTCATGCCTGTTCGTGAAAAAATTTTCTGTTCTGCTCTTTTATTACTTGCTCACTTTTACTTGCATGTTGACCTCAGACTTGACATTGATTGTTCTTGATTAGGTTATTAACTTGTTTTTATATTATTCATACGCTTTAATTTTTTGGTCCCTTCATGCTCAAGATGCATGAATATTTTAATCAAACAATTAATTATGAACTGAAAAACCCATGTAATCTTTTAGAATTAAATGTTTAGATGGGGAACTTAAGTCAACAAAATATGCAGTTTAAACTGAAGTTGCTGGAACATTATTGAAAAGGGTTCTACTTTGGGAATTTGTTGTTACAATCAGTTAAAAATGAATATTGATATGTAAATTTCAAATTCTTTTGCAGGTACCCAGATTTCTGCTCAAGAAACCAGGCATACCTCTATACCTTTATCCAAAATAAGATTCTTCATTGTCTTAAAATGGGTATATTATTAAAAAATCTCATGTATGTGGAAATTTGGGTTATGAATGTTGACTATTATAGACTTCTTTTTTGTTATTTTTATTATTTTTTGCAGCATTGACCTGAGTAGGACTCTTTGAATTACATTATGAAATTACTTTTAACAAGAAGTAATAAGAAAATGAAGAATTTGTTCCCAAAATATCAGGTAACTTATTGACAATTGCTTGTTAGAAAATGTTGGAAATGGAACAGTCAAAATGCATGATCTTGTAAGAGATATGCCTGTACCCACCACCCAGGAGGTCTATTCATCATAAACCAATATTTCAATGAGAGCCAGAAGAACAAGGAGTAGGCGCCAGTACAGTCAAAATTTTTTCACTGAATTCACTGTTTCACTTCTTAACAAGAAGGTTTTTCCCCTTTGGACTAGAAATCTAAACTAAATGTTCTATAGAAATCTGGTTTCTACAGAAAAATCAACATTGAAAACTTCATTTTTCCACACAAAAAAGAAAAAAGAACCAAATACTAGAATATGTATCTAGAAATGATACCATGTACAATTCAGTTATGAACAAATTAGAATTAAACCAATTTGAACTTTCTTCGGTCACTTTTTTTGACATGATAAAATGAAGACATCAAAGTGTTGTTTGGTCTTTTGCACATGTAATCTAATAGACATCAAACCTATCATCTGAACTTGCTTGGTCCACATCCTTGAAACGGAATCGACAATAATTCAATCATTATAGCAATAGTATTACTATTGTTTCACACATTTTGCTGCTATTACAACACTTATCTCATTGGAATCTGAACATTTCGGCTTCTTTTTATTTTTTTTTTCACACTTCTAATTCGTAAGACGGTCGTAATAGTTTAAACTACCTATTAGGCTCTACAAACAAAGTAGACAATTTACTCAAGATCAGAGTCAAATGTCAAAACAAATTTTTAAGATGATATAGCAAAAGGAAATACCTTTGAAGTAAGAGACTCAAGCCGCCATAGTGACTACTTCCTCTTTGGCAGGAGTTTTAGCTTCATCTACAACAAAAGCATCATTATTATTACCTGAAATAACATATGCTAGGGAACCAAAAATCATGGCAATTTGAAATTTGATCAAAATTTTAAACACCGGCAGCAGCAAGGAGGAAGTAAGAGAGATGTCAGATAAAGACTATAAACTAAAAGGATATTATGTTCAACGTGCATTGAAAATAAATCTACCTTCACCCTCAGAAAGTCTACTTCTAAGATATCTCAACAAAGCAAGGAATAGGGCCAGAAACCAGTGAACTGCAGGGAAAAAGAATATCAGTTGATAAAGCCATGACTAACACAAGCACTGAACTTATACAACAAAAAACTCCCTCAATGTCTCAAACCTCCTTGGAGTTCGCAAAGGGTTTCCACTGAGCAAAAGTTTTCAAAGACTAGTCATCTTGCCTAGACAGAACAACAAATTAGATTGAGTAAAATACATTCATCATGAATATCAGAGAGTCAAAACAAATTTACATTGTTTTTGCCACCTGAATGTAAATGGGGGCAAGTTTGAAAAAAATAGATTTAGTCCGTGAAACTCATGATATAAAGAAGTTAAAGATCCAATTATTGCACAACCTACAGAACAAGATACAGCCACTCTTAAATAAAACTGTTATTAACATGTTAGACCATAACAAAGGTTATATGCAGTCTACCTGTTTACAAGGAAACCCATTCATTGCTTCGACAAGCCTTGGTCTAAAAATAGGGCGGCTTGTATCTCTAAGGTCACAACAAAAAGATGACTTGTCTCTATATGTGAAAACCTGCAAAAGTAATTGGTGACACAATATGATTATGGCAACCATTTGATAGCCTGATCACATATGTATTTCATTGTTGACAAACTATAAAATATGCATGCATCGATAAAGTTGTGACTCCAAGGAATTTGGGTGTGTAACATATAACATTACCCAAAACAGTACAACTTTATATACATTAAATGCAATGATCACAAAGCATGTTCAAAGATGAGAAAACATGTTTATAGGGCTGTATAACAATCAAGCAAGATGACCTTGTTTCATGCCAAGCTTGATTAGAACTCACCTGAGCTCATTCAACAAAGTGTGAAGTTTGGCTGAAGTCTGCTAATTTCAAGCTTTTCACCTGAGCAAATCGACTTCAACCAAAGGCCTGCTCAACTAATCAGTCATCAGAGCCAACAATGCAAACTCATAGATGGCTATCCATACTCTAAAATAGCTCACTATATGCCCAACTCAGACTCAGCAAATTTATATGCTCCGCTTTCTAGCCTAGATTCAGTTCACTTCTGCCCTTAATTTAATATATGAAGGCCATAAAGAGGTTGCTACCATCAAACATCTTTCCCCCTCAAATCCCCAGGAAAATATTCTGTTAGGTCCACATTTTCATGAATTAATTATCAAATTTTATTTGAATCAAGATAGTAGCAATTGATCCAGCACTTAATACACTAAAATACTTCCCCTGTTCAATGAATAAGAATTAGAGTGATTAAGTCTAGATTTCAGAAAGATGCATCTTAGGTACTCGAATTTAAGTTAAATCTCTCATTAGACAGCACTAATTGTTCAGTCAATGCATTAAGAACCCAGACAACCAAACTATGCATTAGAAAGCATGCCAACGTGCTAAATGGTATGTTACATACCAATGTATTTGCAATTCACATTTGCTACCATGTCCATGACAAATAGTAGTTAAATAGGTATTCACTGGATGTAGCTCTGAATAGTGATCTTTGAATATATTTACTCAGAGGTAAAAAATGCAACCTCGCCATTAATCATAACACTTACTGATGTTATCAGCATTCAAGTCAGGTAACAGTTGACTTTTTCAAATGCAGCTAGATCAAACGTTCACAACCACATCAAATGCTAACAAGCATAAGAAATTACAAAGAATTGACATCACCTGCTAGAGAAAGATAACGTGTGGCTCCTATACAAAATGCACCCTGTGTATGCTATTGCTAACTAAAAAACATGGCAAACAGAAATGAGTAACAAACCTCTCCAGACTATAAAATAAATGTGGCATGATTCTGAGAATAACACCTGGATCACATTAGGTGGACAAGGGAAGTTAATCCTTGTAAATGCTACACATTGTGTTGTTTCAGGACCATGTCCGAGGACACTACACAAACTAGAACCACAAGAGTACATTGATGAGTTGCTAATTGACAATGTGTGATACATTCCAGTTGTTATCTGCATCTGGTAAATCTAACTGACAATGAGTGTTGAGCAACCAGAACTCTTTTGATAGCAGCATCTATAACAGGTGGATGCAGAAACATAAGAGATCTAAATATGCTACGGACATGAAGCAAGACATATAACCTTCAATCACAACTTTTCATCCTTTCTTCTCCAATAGGCCAACATTTCAAATTCATCTAAATTGCTTTTGGCTTCTTCTTGTGAGCTCAAATGATACTCCTTTTCTTTTTCCGGATATTATAGAATAGTTTAACATCATATTTCCTCACCAAAACTCTACTAGCAACTACAACACAATTCAGCTTGATAGAAAACTAAAACCAAGATCATACCAGAAATAGAATTTCGTTTTTCTAGCAAAAAAATACCATAACGACTATCAAACAACCAATTTTTAAAGCTGGCTAAAAATGCAACCCAACTAAGTGCTCAATAATCCACTGTTAACACAGGGTGGAATTCGGTCAAATTTCAACTTAACCATAAGTTAAGCCTTCGTTTAGTCATTGCTTTTATTACTTACTTTATGCTATTTCCTTCTCGTTACTTCAAAAATTGCTGTAAACCATAATCATTAGTTAAATCTTAATTAATTCCATATAAAACTAAACCACGCATTTCCTTTTATACCTAAACTTGACAAAAGAAGCAAACCATAAAAGATCAAACATAATCTAAATCAAAACTAAATTCTAAAACATTTCTCAAGTTTAACGCAACATAAGCAATTAAAATAATAAAAATTTGATTAAAAAAAAAAGAAATAGTTACATTGCCCGCAGAGGTATGGCCCATATCCGATGATTGCTCCACAGACTGCAAAAACCTCAAAACTCTTCCAATTCCCATCACACCTTTCAAAAAGCTCCCTTTGACTGCTCTGAATGTTCTCGAAGTCAACGCCAAAGACACTAGGTCAACCGCACTTAGCCAATTTGAACTTTGTTGGGCCACTTTTTTCCACATGATAAAATGAAGACATCAAAGTGCTGTCTGGTCTTTTGCACATGTAATCTAGTAGACATCAAACCGATCATCTGAATTTGCTTGGTCCACATCCTTGAAAATGGAATCAACAATAATTCAATCATTATAGCAATAGTATTACTATCGTTTCACACATTTTACTGCTATTACAAAACATATCTCATTGCAATCTCAACATTTTGGCTTCCTTTTTTTTAAAAAAAATTTACAAAAAAATTACTCATCTCTCCTTTAATAGCTGCCTTTGTTCTCTTCTTTCTTTCTTTCTGTTCTACCAATTTCTTTAAATTTTTCAGAATTTGTACCCTCACAGGTATTTCTTTTAGCATATAATATTTTTTGCTTCATTTTCTTGATCCATGCATCCGGTACGCAAACAAAGTTCCAATGAAAAGAAAAGTATCAGCCAATATCCTCAGACAGAGGGGTAGATGGTAGTAATAGTTGAAACTACCTATTAGGTTCTACATCTAGAGTAATAAGATCACAAAAAAATAGACAATTTACTCTCTGATAGAAGATCAGAGTCAAATGTCAAAACAAATTTTTAAGTTGATACAGCAGAAGGAAATACCTTTGAAGTGAAAGACATTCGAGCTGCCATAGTGACTACTTCCTCTTTGGCAGGAGTTTCAGCTTCATCTACAACAAAAGCTTCATTATTATTACTTGAAATAAGATATGCTAAGGAACCAGAAATCATTGCAAAATTTTAAACACTGGCAGCAGCAAAGATGAAGTAAGAGAGATGCGAGACAAAGACTAAAACTAAAGGAATATTACGTTGAATGTGCAGTGAAAATAAATCTACCTTCACCCTCAGAAAGTATACTTCTAAGATATCTCAACAAAGCAGGTGTAGGTCCAGAAACCAGTGAACTGCAGTTAGAAACAATATCAGTTGATAAAGCCATGACTAACACAAGCACTGAACTTATACAACAAGTAACTCCCTCAATGCCTCAAAACCTTCTTAGAGTTCGCAAAGGGTTTCCACCGAGCAAAAGTTTTCGCAGAATAGTCATCTTGCCTAGACCGAAGAACAAATTAGATTGAGTAAAATACATTCATCATGAATATGAAAGAGTCAAACAAATTTACATTGTTTTTGCCACCTGAATGTAAACGGGGGCAAGTTAAAAAAAAGAAGATTTGGTCAGTGAAACTCATGATATAAAGAAGTAAAAGATCCAATTATCGCACAACCTAGGGAACAAGCTGGTGCCACTCTCAAGTAAAACTGTTATTAACATGTTAAACCATAAAAAGGGTTATATGCAGTCTACCTGTTTATGAGGATCCCCTTCACTGCTTCGACAAGCCTTGGTCTAAAACAGGTGGCTAGTATCTATGTGGCCACAACAAAAAGATGAATTGTCTCTACATATGAAAACCTGCATAAGTAATTGGAGACACAATATGATTATGGCAACCACTTGATAACCTGATCACGTATGTATTTCATTTTTGACCAACTATAAAATATGCAATCATCGACAAAGTTGTGACATCAAAGAATTTGGGTGTAATAACATATATTAACCCAAAACAGTACAACTTTATATAATTAATATGCAATGATCACAAAGCATGTTCAAAGATGAGAAAACATATCTATAGGGCTGTATAACAATCAAGACATGACCTTGTTCATGCCAAGCATGATGAAGAACTCACATGAGCTCATTCCAACAAGCATGAAGTTTGGCAGAAGTTCTGCCAATTCCAAGCTTTCACCTGAGCGAATCGACTTCAAACCAAGGCCTGCTCAACTAATCAGTCATCAGAGCCAGCAATGTAAGCTCATAGATGGCTATCCATAACTCTAACATAGCTCGTTTATACCAACTCAGACTTGTAAATTTATATACTCCTCTCTTTAGCCTAGATTCAGCTCACTTCTGCCCTTAATTTAAAATATGAAAGCCATAAAGAGGTTGCTACCATTAAAAATCTTCCCCCTCAAATCCACAAGAAAATATTCTCTAAGGTCCACATTTTCATAAATTAACTTTCAAATTTTATTTGAATCAAGATATTAACAATTGATCCAGCACTTAATACAGTAAAAGACTTCCCCTGTTTAACAAATAAGACTAGAAGTGATTAGTCCTATACTTCAGAAAGATGCATCTTAGGTACTCGTATTTAGTTAAAATCTCTCATTAAAGACTGGCACTAATTGTTCAGTCAATGCATTAAGAACCCAAGCATCCAAACTATGCCACTAGAAAAGCATGCCACATGCTACATGGTATGTTA